CCACACACACACACACTTGTTAGCTTGTTCTTTGGCTTTGCCATTCTTGATTATATAAGCAAATATTTGCATTTCTCATCCATACTCACGTTATTGTAGAACATCAGCAGAACACACGTGATTGCTTGTGTTGGGATGCAAAATTCTAGAATTTAGAAATTGTATTCCTCTGTTCTCTTAAGACTATTGTTCGATACTTAAGAATCTAAAGCCAGAACTGACTTGGGTGGTTATGCAAAATGACTCACATCTTTAGTTTAAATAGTGTTAAAAAGTTTATTCAAGTACTCCCTCCGTTCACAAACATAAGATGTTTTAGCTTTTTTCTGAATCAGATGTATATAGACATGTTTTAGTGTGTGCTTGTTCACTCAGTTCAGTCCGTATTTAGTCCATATTGAAATACCCAAAACATCTTATATTTGTGAACGGAGGGAGTAAATGCTTCAGTCCTTTATATGCTTGTAAAATTTTCATGGAAAACGAATAATTTTCATGCCATGTATTAGTGCTCCAAAAATTGAATTCTTGGGAGCTCTTCGTCAATGTGCAAAGGTGATTTTTTGTCCACGAAAATTTACACGGGCTCGAACATTTACTACTTGTGCATCTTTTCTGGATTTTTTTGTCATTTTAAATCATTTTTCCAGTATAAGTGTTCATTATCTTACAATAGATCTCAGGTTAACATATTATTTATATTTTGGTAGGAAAAATTAGGTCCTATAGCTCATAAGCTGCCGTGCATAGCCCAACATTTCAGCATTCTTACCGCAGCTAATTGCAAATAAGTCTTCATTTTGGGGAAGCTTTCTGGTGGCTTTGAGTTTTATGTATATCTTTGATATGTTCTTGCAGGCAAAACAGGAGTAATTATAATTTTTTACATTGTAGCAGCTTTCCTTTTGGCCAACACTGTTGCTCCCGCTTTCAAAAAAAAAAAAACACTGTTGCTCCCCCTTGTAACAACATTAAACCCTGTTATCATGTTTATATTGCAGATGCTGATGCGTTCAATGGGCTGTGCAAGCTTGTGGTGAACGGCAAGGTGAAGGAAGTTTTCCTGTAGAGGAAGTCATTTGCGAGATCAAGCTCACTATGAAGACAGTTTGTGTTGTGTGTGTGTGTCTCGCTTATTACTGCCTTCACTTGTAGTAATCACTACTAGTAAGCAATGCATAGCAAACCTTAGGTTTATATTATCGTTGCTTGGATTTAAATCCTGGAACTGGAAGGCTGCATTTTGCGTGAGCTCTCTCCCCATTCACCTTGACGAGGAGCTGAGCTGATATTTGTGTCGGGCATTGCGAAGTACTCCAAAGTCCAAACTGATGCCAAATTGAATGTCCAGACATGGAGAGTGAGTCCCTTCCTGGTTTGATTGCTTGCACACTCAGCATGTTGAGCGAGTAGCTTCTGACCGATTTTGCTTGCCGTCCAACCTAGTGGTTCATCCATCGATGTTACTGCAGATTCGCATTGGCATGTTTGGGTTTATTTCGGACCCATCTTTGTGTGTGTGCGCGCGTGCGTGCACGAATGAAGTGCCTTAAATTAATTAAGGAACGGGATGCTTACAATCATCTAATCTAAAATAAGCTAAAAAAAATTAACAGGTGGTGCATCGAGCACTGAAACGAGACTGCGCATCTCATTTTCTCATCATCACTGGATCACAGATGATCCTTTTATTTCAAAACTTGCAAATACGTTTTTGTAGAGAGCGGCTTCTCATGTAGTATCAGATTCCAAAAGAAAAAAATGGCTCTACTTGCGCAAAATTCTAAAATGCTTTTTTTTCGAGGGTACTCAATTGCGTATTTTTATAGAAGGAGAACAAGATTTACAAGATTCCGCATGACGATGCGAACATTGTCGTGGGGGCACCCACTCCACTCAATCTATCTAGTTCAATGTCTCACAAAACGTTGCAATCCTCCTACACCGTTAGCCGTTAAGTTCCATTCTCTAATCTCCTCTAAGATCACACCAGCTAGGTCTTTCGCCGTCATTTGCTGCTCTCTTCTGTTAAAAACTCTGGCATTTCGCTGCTTCCACAACACCCACGCTGTGCATATGACCAAGCTGTCAAAACCTCTTTTCTCCTTTCCATGGAAGCTTCTGCGCTTCTGTAACCACCATTCCACTATAGTGTCCTCCGTCGATGGTCCCGTGGTTGGTAACTGAAGCTTATCCATGCAGGTGAACCAAACTTCTTGGACATACACACAGCAAGTAAGAATGTGCTTCACATTGTCTTCATCTTGCAGGCAGGTGAAACAAGGCGATGGAAGATCTTGCAAACCATGTCGAGCTCTCCGGTCCGAAGTCCATATCCTATATTGCGAGGCCAGCCATGCGAAAATCTTGAGTTTTAGCGGTGCATAGCTTCTCCAGATGCAAGTGGCCGCCGGAGCTCTTGTCAGGCCTTGGCAGAGCCTATCGTAGGTGGGCTTTGCCGAGTAAGTGCCCTCCTCTCCAGCACAAGGCTAAATGAACTTGTCTTCCTCCAAGGGATCTCTCTGTAATGTGGCCACTGCATGTCTGAGGTGCATTAGTTGCAGTTGTGCCATGAATGACATGCCACCTTGTATGTCTTGCTCCCATCTGTTATGAGCCAACGCTTGTTGCACTGTTCGCGAGTTGATCACTCGTGTTTCCACCATGGTTTGAATGTTTGGGGCAATGTCCTGAGTTTTAAAGCCCTGTATCCATCTGTCTTTCCAGAAGAGTACACGATCGCCACGTCCAACCTCTATTCTCACCAGGCTATCAAACACCATTGTTGCATCGGTATCAACCGTGAGCGCAAGGTTGCTCCAAGGCCTATCCTTGTCAACTCTTCTCAACCATTCCCACCTAACTCTGAGCGCTAGGACTTGGCGTTTCAAGTTTTTAATTCCCAGCCCACCGAAGCATGTTGGCCTGCAAATGGTGCTCCAAGCAACCAAGCATTGACCTCCATTGATTTTGTCTTTGCCCGCCCGGAAGAACAATCTCATACATGCATCAATCTTTTCAAACACCCACTCCAGAGCATCCATGATTAGCAGTTGATGTACTGGCCTGGCAGTGACGACGGATTTGATCAACACCAGTCTGCCCGATCTCTGAATGAACCCTCTCTGCCATCCAGGGACCATTTTCTTCACCATGTCGAGCAGAGGTTGCCACTCATTTCTAGTCAGCTGACGAGTGGCCAGTTGCAATCCAAGATACCTTATAGGAAACTCCGCAAGCGAGCATCGCAGTAGGTTGGTCACCCTAGCTATATCTTCCTGTTCCCCTCTAATTCGCCATGGACTTGCCATAGTTCACCTTAAGGCCCGAGGCCGTCCCAAACACAAGCAATGCCTCCCTGACGAATAACAGATCTTGGAGCGTAGGGCGAATGAAGAACGCGACATCGTCGGCGTAGATAGAAATGCGTTGAGCCGCCGAGATGCCTCTGAATGAGCTTAGTACTCCCTCCTCTGAAGCTCTAGAGACTGTTGTTGTGAGGGCATCCATCGCAATAACGAATAGCGACGGGGAAATTGGGTCACCTTGCCTGAGGCCCTGCGCGTGAATAATGCTTCTGCCCGGCATGCCATTAACTAAGATGTGAGTTGAAGCTGTTTGCATAAGTATGGACAGCCATTTGATCATCCTGTGCCCGAAACTTTTCGCCTTGAGCACCTCAAATAAGAACGGCCAAGAAAGGGAGTCGAAAGCAAAAGAGATATCCAATTTGAGGAAGACACCCTTGCATTTCCGCGAAGTGATCTTTTTGGCTACTTGTTTGACAAGGAGGAAATTGTCGTGAAGGCATCGTCCTTTGATGAAGGCCGACTGGTTGAAAGTGACTAGATCCTTCATAAACGGCCCGACTCGAACTGCCAGAAGCTTCGCAAAGATCTTCGACGGGCTATGAGGTAAACTGATCGGACGGAAGTCGCTCACCTGCTCTGCATTCGGCCTTTTAGGAATCAGCACCATCAGTGCTCTGTTTAGCTTGGCAAAACCTCTTCCATCTCCCACAAAAAGCTTCATGATAGTTGCCATGATGTCGTGTTTAATCACTGGCCAAGCACATTGGTAGAATTTCCCAATGAATCCATCCGGACCGGGGGCGCGGTCTGGATGAAGTTCCTTGATTACGGCCCAAACTTCGTCCTCGGTGAATATAGCCTCCAAGTCTTGCAAGTCCTGCGCCTCTATTCCCAAGAAGTTCATGTCTAGCGTGTAGGGTCTGGCCTGAGCCGTGCCAGTGAGGGCTTGAAAAGCATCTGAGAAGACCTCTTCCATTCTACTTTGCTCCGTTATGATTTCATCACCCCATTTAACATGTGGAATGAAGTTTTTTGCTCTTCGCCCATTCGCCACTGCTTGGAAGAATTTTGAGTTCGCGTATCCTTCTTTGAGCCATCGAAAGCGAGACCTTTGTCTATCAATGGTTCTCTCGAGAGAGGCCAGTCCAAGCAGGCAAAGTTTAAGCGTGCGCCGCAGCCAAGTTTCCATAGGCGAAAGCTGGCGATGGTCCAAAGCCTTGTCGAGTCGAAAAATCACCCACGTGGCCACCGTCATTAACAACTTAATGTTCCCCGTTTTCCTCTGACCCCATGCTTGCAGGGCAGCACCAGCATTCCTATATAGTGCATCCAATCTCTTGAAGGGATTAGTAATCGCCTCGTCCCATCTCCAAGCACTCCTAACTGCCTCTTCAAAACCCTCCAGTTTCGTCCAGTAAAGCTCGAACTGGAATCTCTTTTTCTGGGAGAAAGGCGCACAGGTTGTTAGGAAAAGAGGCGCATGATCCGAAACACCAGTGGACAGAGCTTGGAGTAAGCAGTCTGGGTAGTCAAGCTCCCAGTCGACTGTGACAAGCACTCTGTCAAATTTCGTTAAGGTTGGGTTGTCCCTTTCGTTCGTCCAGGTGAACAGGCGCCCGTGCATGTACAACTCCTTAAGCTCCTGATCATCCACAAACTGTCGAAACCTATTCATCATGTTTCTGTTGATATTCACCTTATTTTTCTCTGAAGCTCTTAAGATCATGTTAAAGTCGCCAAGAACCATCCACGGCCCTTGACAAAGTGTCCTTCTCTGAGACAACTCTGCAAGAAAGTTAATTTTCCTAGCATCTCCTTGCGGCCCGTACACAACCGTAATCCACCATGCCACTCCCACCCTCGGGCAGATCATGCCAGTGAGGGAGTTAGTGTCCATTTGTAGATTATGGACATCGATCATCGAAGAGTTCCATGCCAAAAGAATACCACCACGAGTCTCAATCGCCGGCAAGTACGTGAATCCGTCAAACGAGCGGTCCCATGCATTGCATTACTACAAAGGTATCTATTACATCCATCTTGGTTTCTTGAAGACAAACTAAGCTAGCTTTGGTGGTGTCTAGAAACTCCTTGACCGCCTTCCTTTTCGCCGGACTGTTCAAACCTCGCACGTTCCAACACACAATTGATGGGTGTATATCCATAAAATCACAGGAACTCGTGCGCCCGAACACTCCACAGCTCACCGAGCCTCCACCACCATCCTTGTCTCTCCATCCACCTCAAAGGAGGGCACCAGCTTGAAGGAAATATGCCCTAGAGGCAATAATAAAGTTATTTATTTCATTATATCACGATAAATGTTTATTATTCATGCTAGAATTGTATTAACCGGAAACATAATACATGTGTGAATACATAGACAAACAAAGTGTCACTAGTATGCCTCTACTTGACTAGCTTGTTGATCAAAGATGGCTATGTTTCCTAGCCATAGACATGAGTTGTCATTTGATTAACAGGATCACATCATTAGGACAATGATGTGATTGACATGACCCATTCCGTTAGCTTAGCACACGATCGTTTAGTATGTTGCTATTGCTTTCTTCATGACTTATACAGGTTCCTATGACTACGAGATTATGCAACTCCCGTTTACCGGAGGAACACTTTGTGTGCTACCAAACGTCACAACGTAACTGGGTGATTATAAAGGTGCTCTACAGGTGTCTCCAAAGGTACTTGTTGGGTTGGCGTATTTTGAGATTAGGATTTGTCACTCCGATTGTCGAAG